ACGACAATGTTTGGCTCAAGGCATGATCAGCAAAAGAGGTCTTCTAATTACCGCTCTCTGCGGTAGGCCTCTTCGTGGTTGTGTCTTGGTGTTTGTAACTTTTCATCCTTTATTTCCCTGGCTTATTGGGGAAGAAAGGAATCCATAAACCCTAAACCCTAAACCCTAAACCCCGAACCTCTTTTGCCACAGATAACCGGGCCAAGGCACCTCCGAAGTGCCACGAGAAGAAGGCAGCAGCCCTTTGAGGGTTCGGAGTGGTGGCTTCATCCCTAAACCCTAAACCCTAAACCCTACTTGAATACTAAACCCTAGACCCTAAACCCTAAATTTCAGGGTGTCGATGTGTTATCGATGGTGTTACTCAGGCGATGTACGGTTCTGGCGTCTTAGGGGCCTGAAGTTTCCTTGCTTAGCGTTTTAAGGCTTTGGGTTTAGCGTTTTAGGGTTTCGGGTTTTAGGTTTGGTGATTTAGGGCTTTGCGTCTTGATTGATTGGTTATCTCATATAGGAGGCCGTTAGCAAGTTGAGATGAAAAAAGGGGTTTAGGGACAGCCGCTAGAGTCCGTCTAGGCCTTCACAGATGTGCCATTTCAAAGGCTCACACCATAGTGTCGCAGTCCACGTTTGTTTGCAGGAAACTGTGATCCCAAGCAAACGCCCGTTCAAGAACATGAGCGAGGTGTGGATATCAGTAGCGCCCCCCTAGTGTAGAAGGCAACACCAGAGGTGACACAGCTGCCGGTGCTGCGCTTCCTTGACTCTGTATAATAAGGGGCCTTAACAATCAGAATCGGGTTTTGTGGGTTCTTTATTGCGGTTATAGCATAATGTACCCCCAGCTTTAGGGGTTCCTTATTATGTTTATAGCATAATACACCCCGAAACCCCTATCCTCGTGGTTAAGGCCGCCTAGATTAGTTCAAGTGAGGACATGAAGGTTAGAAATCGGGTCTTGCCCCAGACCCATACAATCACTCCTAGTTTACCTTAAACTACCCAAACCTACTTTTTTGTAGGGTCCGTATAAATTCTATATTAGGGTTTATAGTAAGGACCTACAAAAAAGTAGGTTATGGTAGTTCAAGGTAGGGTTTAGGGTTAAGCCTTTTCTTTTCCTCTTCACCAGTTTAAGGCCCCAAGACCACCATGCATCACAGTGTGAATAGTCCTCTGCCGTAGGGGGTTTAGCGCTTCCGAGTGCAGCGCTGCCAGCTTTGAGGTCTTAGAGCTGGGGAGACAAGCACTCTTCCGTCAACTACGGCGCCCTTCTAGGGTCCAGGTTTAGGGTTTAGGGTGAGCAACAGACGCCTATAGAAAATGTATGGGCGGTGGCAGGAGCAGGTGGCGACCTTGAATGAGCAACTCGCTTCCTCGTCCGCTTCCTCCACTCCACAGACTCCCCAGAGACTCTAACACCCCTTAATTAAGGAATATACCTTAAATCATTTTAGGGATCCTACTATAATTTAGGGTATATTCCTTAATTAAGGGATATTGTTGGAGTCTCTGGGTCCGGCTCCACTGGCCGAAGATGACGCGATGCCTGAGGCTGCGATTAAGGCCATGCAGGTGCCAGAATTGGAGGGCCAGAAGAAGGCCGTGGCTCACGAGGCCAGGATGATCCACAACGTGATCTACAGGCCCAGCTTTTGGCCGAAGAGACGAGACAACTTCGAAGAAGATGACCGGCCAGCTTGCAGAAGGAAGGTATAAAAGCAGAGAGTCTCTACAAATCAGGGGATACCCTAAACCTTCTCTTCGCAAAGCCAAAGCCTCAAACAAAAAAAGTCAAAGACCCCCAAAACCCTACATAAACCCTTAGAAACTTTAAAAGCCCGTACCCTAAACCCCAAACCCGAAACCCCTAAACCCTAAACCCTAAACCCCTAAACCCTAAACCACTAAACCCTACACCCCATCTCCAGGTGGTGAACTCCAATTCTGACAAGTTCTTGGCTTGCCCGAAGGAGTGACTGGGCCTCCGATGTGCCAGGGTTTTGCTTGCCTAGAGTCTTTTGTTAAGGGTTTGGGGTTTCGGGCTCAGGGTTTAGGGCTTAGGGTTTAGGGTTTAGGGCTTAAGGGTTTAAGGTTTTAAGGTTTAGGGGTTGAGGGTTCAGGGGTTTAGAGGTTTAGGGTTTAGCGTTTGGGGGTTCAGGGGTTTAGGGTTTAGGGTTTCTGTAGGTTTTCTATGGAGCTTCTGTAAGGGTACTATAACACTCACCCTAATGTAGGGGCCTAAAGAATTACCTATATTATTTTGGGGGGTTCAATGGGCCCCAAAACCCTATTCTAATTGTTAAGGCCCTTATATTAGAGTCTTTTGTTTCAAAGAGGTTCGAAACTCAAAATCCGAAGCCCCAAGCCCAGAAAGGTCGTTCAAAGGGTTCTAGACCCTCAGGCTCTTGGGCACGTGTGTGTTTTACTTCTTTGGGGCTTTGTGTCTTCTTGTAGTGCCTGCTGGTGACTGCGACGGGTATGTCAACCCTTAACCCAAAGCTCGGCTTCGGGGTGAGGAATTCCCGGGTTTAGGGGTAGTAGAAGGGCCGAAATAATTAACAATACTATTTTGGGGGTTCCTTACTGTAAGTATAGTAGAGACCCCAAAGCCCTGTTTTAATTTTTAGGCCCCTACATTACCCTACATCCTAAGCCCTAAACCCTTTTCTAAACCCTATTCTAATTATTAAGGCCATACGTTACTCTAAGCCCTAAACCCTATTCTTAAGCCTATTCTCATTACATATCAAGGTCCCTACATAAGTATAGTAGAATGGGCCCCAAAACCCTAAACCCTATTCTAATCATTAAGACCCCTACATTAGAGTGTTTCAGCTTTCGGGTCCAGGGCCGAGTGGATATAGCGCAGGATGCCCTAACCCTGAAACCCCGACACGGTTTAGGGATTAAGGGTTTAAGGGTTTAGTTCTTAGGGTTTAGGGTTTAGGGTTTAGGGGTTTAGAGTTTGAAAGAAAAGTGGCACAGAAGAGAATTGCATTTGGCCTCCATGCTCACGAAGGTACCCCTAGTTCGTAGAAACCTCAAAGCTTTGAGCCCCAAACCCCCTTTGAGAGAGTCTTTGAAAGGAGCTCCAATCCTAGTTCTTAAGGCCCCTACACCCAGACCCCTAGTAAGAAGCCTTTCATTCTAGAACAAATGCTAGAACTTGGAAGCTTTAGAACCATCGCTGTAGTGCCCCAGGTGCCCCGTCTACGCCGATGACCGCGGTGACGACACCGACTGCAACTTCGAGTGCGTGGAGGCTCTCTCTTCCTTTATCGGTTCTTGGAGGGTCGGGGGACTTAGTAACTAGTTATTTTATAGACTTATAAGTACTATAACCCCACTTAGGGTCCCTTGTAGGGTACTTATAACTTACTTAATATCTACTTACTAAGTGCCCCGACCCTCCAAGTTCCTTTAAAGGATCTGTAAAGCGCTCCTCTAAGGGATTGACAAGGGCTCCTTTGAGGGATCTATACAGGGCTCTTTTAATCCATAAGGGTTCCTTTCAGGGATCTACAAGGGTTCCTTTATGCGATCTGTAAGGTTACTATATATGTTACTAAGGGTTTTAACGGCTTTAGCGTTTTGGTGGTTTTCGTGGTTCAGAGTTTTGGGCTCGTGGTCTAAGATGGTCGGGTTGACGGTCTTAGGGCTTGGGATCTAGAGTTTAAAGGCTCTGGTGCTGTTTTAACTTGTTCCTTGTTTGTTTTTCTGCTTACCTCCGAAGGGGGATGGAGGCAGCTCAGAAGACTTACTGGGGCGGCACACCAGACACCCGCTGCACAGACCTAAGCAGAAGTGCTAAACCCTAAACCCTTAAGTCCTCGACGCCTAAGCGTAAACCCTTGAAGCCGCTAAAGTTCTAAAGCTTAAACCTTGAAATCCTAAATCCTAAGCCCCTGAACCCCCAAAGCCCGAAACCCCTAAACCCCAAACCCTGGACCCCAAACCCTAAGCCCCTGAACCCCCAAACCCCTAAACCCCTAGACCCTAGACCCCAGACCCAGACCCAGACCCTGGACCCCTAAACCCCTAAACCCCAGACCCCAAACCCTAAACTCTAAACCCTAAACCTAAACCCTAAACCCTAAACCCTAAAGTCCTGCAAGTCTGAAGTGCCAGGCGACCCCCAAGGCATGCACCGCTGTCAACAAGTTCGAGCCTATCCCAGATCCGAAGATGGGCACCTGGGCGGCCGAGGGTTTAGGGATTTAGGGTTTAGGGTTTAGGAGTTTAGGGTCTGGGGTTTTTAGGGTCTAGGGGTTTTAGGGTTTAGGGGTTTAGGGTTTAGGGGTTGTGGGGTTTAGGGTAGAAGCCTGTGCCTTCAGCCTTAATGGGGCTCATAGGCCTTGCAGAGCTTGCAGGACTGAGTATAGTAGGCTTCTTATCAGGCTTAAAAAGCTTATCGGGTTTGCAGGCCTGCAGGGCTTATGGGGTTTATAGTTTATGGGGCGTAGCCTCTTTAGGGTTTCGGGTTTATAGGGCTTAGGGCTTAGGGATTGTAGGCTTCTAGGGCTTACGGAGTTTGTACGAATTGGCGCTTGAAGGGCATAAGGCTCATTGGGCTTTTGGGGTGTAGCGTTTAGGAGACACGATGGAGTTTTCACAGACGTCCCGAAAAAAGTTCCGCAATAAGGACATTTGTGTCTCAATCTTTGTGCACGGTGCAAGAACTGTCCATGTGTAGGACATTTTCAGGCGGGTAGAACCGTTATTGGAGCCTTATAGAAGGTTTATATACCTTATAGAAGCCTTCTAGAAGCCCTATATACCCTAAACTCCCCACCTGTAGTTTCCTTCGACCATGCCGGTTTTAAACCGCACTACCGAGGCATCTGCCGTGCCTGCATCATCTACGGCTGCGCAGAGTGCATGACCGACGGCACAGAAGCTGAAGTTGCAAAATGAGAACTTTCTGGGCCCTAAACCCTACTTGGAGGGTCGGGGGACTTCGTAAGTCTTTGCTTTATAGACTTATAAGTATCATAACCCCTATTAGGATCTCTTTAAGGACACCTATAACTCTAGTTAACATCTACTTACTCAGTCCCCCCCGGACCCTCCAAGTAGACCCTAAACCGATTGCCAGGAGCGACCCGAAACCGTAGAGTTCTGTGCAGATACTTCTTGTACCACTCTGGGGACACCTCTTCAATTTTTTTCAGTTGCCATGCCCTTACTTAACTAGATGGGCCTGTGGGACATTTTGCATTTCCCTTGCGTGGCCTAAGAGGATCTTCTTTACAATTGTCACAGGCTCTAGTGAAGGACCAAACTCGTTAATTGCGAACCCTAAACCCTAAACCCCTAAACCCTAAACCCTAAACCGTGTTGTCCTCCAAGCCTTGTCCGAAGAACCAGTCACCCTCCGTCCACTTCAGGACACTTGCGCGCGCTGCGAGAGCGGGTTTTCCCTCAATGCCAAGGACAGGAGCATTTAGTAGTGTTACTGTGGGTTAGGGTATCGGTAAGACGTGCAGAGAGAAGCAAACTGCGCGAAAGGCTGCGTTTAGAGCGCCAACAAAAGCTGGATCCGCACTGCACTTTTTCAAGGTTTGGGGTTCAGGGTTTAGGATTTAGGGTTCCGGGTTTAGGGTTTAGGGTTTCTAAACTCTCCAAGCTACACCGTCGCGGCTTCGTGTGCAGGGCCTTCATTGGGCCAGAAGCTTCAACCGGGACCGAAACTCAGGGACGATGACGGGTCTAGGGTTATAGGGACTACTACAACGAACTAACAAAGGGATCCATTCCCCCCAGCCCCTACTACGAACGACGGAGGAAAGTGCTCGGAATCTACGTCCGTATTGAGAGAGCGGTTGAAAGCTCAAGGCCAGACGCGAAATTATAGGGATGTTGAGATTCAAGGCCTTATATCAATAACTGGATGTACCGGGAAGCTGTCTCTTGAAGATTAAGATTACTGCAGGACTTCGTGCTGACATGCCGGAATGAAAGTGATGCGAGCTCTACAATCCCTGGACCTGACAGGCCTTACAAGAATATTCCCCAAATCTCTCCTCGAATCATTAAGACCCCTATATTCTACATTAGAGACGTTGGTGTACGAGATCTTGGCGTACTCCAAACAGCTCAAGTGTGAAAGAGTGTCTAGTCACGAGCGTTGCACGAGTATCCCTTATCTACAATCGGGCATTCTTGGAAAAGCCGTGCATCTAAACCCTAAGACCGAAGCATCCAGGGCACCTGCGACAACAAGAACCGCTACTACTGGTATGCTCTTTTCGCAGTGCTGGGCCTTGTTGCGCTTTTCATCGTGGCCTGGTGCCTGGGCGAAGATCTGCGTTACAGCATGTAGGGTTCGGGCTTTAGGGTTTACTAACTTAGGGTTTTGGGGTGTGGGATCTGTGGAATTATACGTCGAAGAAGGTTCTCATTTTCGGGCAGATCGAAGTACAAGAACGAAATTGGAATAGAACCCTAAATAAGTGTAGTACTACTGTTCCTTTAGGCATGTGGGGCTCCTGATTATAGCTATAGTAGAATAATCCCTAATGCCGTGGTCCAACTACTAAGGCCCCATTCTAAACCCCTGAAAACCTGTTCTAGAAACTGTCTTATATAGGGTTTTGGGTTTAGGGTAGAACCCTCAATGGAACTAAACCCTAAACCCTAAAACCTAAACCCTAAACCTTAACCTACTTATTGAGGGCCCCTGGGCTCCCCCCCACCCCACCTATTCTTTTCGCCCGAGCTCTACGCCGATTTCGGCGGACTCACTGGCGAGCTATCTGCTTAGGGTTTAGGGTTTAGGATTTCAGGCTTAGGGTTTCAGAGTTTAGGGTTTAAGGCTTAGGGTTTCAGAGTTTGGGGTTTAAGGCTTAGGGTTTCACAGAGTTTGGGGTTTAAGGCTTAGGGTTCCAGGGTTTAGGGTTTAAGGCTTAGGGTTCCAGGGTTTAGGGTTTAAGGCGTAGGGTTTCAGAGTTTGGGGTTTAAGGCTTAGGGTTTCAGGGTTTAGGGTTTAAGGCTTACGGTTTCAGGGTTTGGGGTTTAAGGCTTAGGGTTTGAGGTTCATCAGAGCTGACGGTTTCTGGAGTGCCATGTCTGCGGGACGGGGCATAGGAGAAAGCGCGGCACTGAGATGACAAGTTGTTCAAGCCAGGTCTTATTATACATATTATGCCTATTATAGATTACACATCTTACATACCCTAAACCCCAAACCCTAAACTCATTACATATACTTAAAAGGGTGCATTATGACATGCCACGGTGAGTCAGAGCTTGAAGATAGCTGACACTGCACAGGCCCGGCCAGAAATGTGGATGCAATCACGGCATGTGTCAGCTTGGTATTTGTGACATTATATGCACATACATATGAACTATATCAAACTTTTAAACTTATTATGTGATGTTGTCTTCTATTCTATTGTGTTGCTTTGTGTTATTACGATGTGATGTGATGTGATGTGATGTGATGTGATGTGATGTGATGTGATGTGATGTGATAGTGTGTTGTATTGTAGCTTGTACAGTATAGTGGAGTATACCATCTGATATTACGTTACAATGCACACCCATATGCATATAGAAATATACAGAGATATTGAGGTGTACAACATCTCGAACGTCTCTAATGATAGCCGCCGTGCACTTTCTTGCCCCAGGCCAGGCACTCTAGGCCTAAACCCTAAACCCCTGAACCCCAGACCCTAAACCCCCAGACCCTAACCCGCTACACCCTCGACCCTGACCCCCTACACCCCCGGAGTCCTAGAGCCTAAATCCCTAGACCCCAAACCCTCAGACCCTCAACGGACCGTAAACCCCTAAGACCCTAGACCCTAAACCCTAAACCCTAAACCCTAAACCCTAAACCCTCTAAACCCTAAACCCTCTAAACCCTAAAACTGATCAGGATGGTTGACATCTGCACGCGCCCCGTTGTCAATGCCGATGG